GTATTTTTTTACTAAAACTAATCCATATCTTTTCTAAACATGTTGTATTGCTTGTTACTGGATTTATAGGGTCTCTCAAAAAATAAAACATTCTTAACTTGATGAGTTTTATTTAAGATAAACTTAAATTCTGAAATAGATATTTCTAGAAAACAATCCGTCAGTCAGTCTCTCCCCTCCCTCCTCTTCCCGCTCCCCTCCCCCCACCTTCCAACCCCACACAGTGTAAAGGTGCGGAGCAGTGCACCTCTTCTGCATGCCTTCGTTCTTTCTCAATCTAAAATAAATATAAGCTGTTCTGAAAATAACTATATAAACTTATATAAAATTTATGTAAAATATGTTATAGATTTATACATTGGTATATTCTACATACATATCTCCGGCACGTTGCATCAACTCCTTGAAGTGCTATTATTCTCACAGTAGGGTTGAAGAAACAGTGCTTATTAGAAGCAGACATTTCCTGGTTGTGTAGCTGACAAGGGATGAAGACAAATGAAATCCATATTTTCATAGTATTGTGCCTGAGCACCTTGTAACTCATAAAAAGGCTTATCTTTATAAAAACATGCATGTGACTTTGAAAATTGCATATTATGATGACTCACTTATTCTGATTTGTTCAGACTTTCATGATTTTTGTATTCAAAAATCCCTTAGTGCCAATCAAACAAGGATGCCCTGTCACTTTACCTGTAGAAGTAAATGCAAGAGACTGCAATATCCATCCTCAGTGGAAGGGAAAGATACAGAAAATGGAATACAAGTAGAGGAAAATAATTCAGGAAATGTATTAAGGCAAAGGTAAAGATCATTGAAGTGGCTGCTTCCTGTGCTGCCCTCCTCATCAATGTTGTACCATTCTGTTTCCCCTTCTCTTCTTTCCTTGGGCATTTCCCTTCATGTCCTTTCTTAACACCCACAAAAGCTTGTTGCATGCGTCTTTCCATTCCCCAGCTGTTCCCCTGTTTAGTTCATGGCAGTGAGTAAACAGAGCACCAGAGAAGGGGCCAGAGACCATGTACAGCCCCAGGTCCTATCTGCATAAGCCACCCAGACATACCCTGAAGTCTGCTTTACCAGTCCCTGAGGCAGCTCTCAAACCAGTCAAATTGACAATCAAGATCAGCCATCACACATGTATACTAATGCGGTGATTTTAAACCAAAGTATTAACCCATGACAGCCTATTGCCATCAAAGCTATACTTATTCTCCATTTTTCTCTACCAAGTATATCATGATTATTTGTACACATGGACACTTCAGTGAATAGGGTTGTTGTCACATGATCAGCATCCACAATGGGCATCCACATTTCATCTACTTTTAAGTTAATGAGATTACACAGCACACTCTTCTGTTTACTTTTTTCTTGTATATATTTATAATGTATGACATGATATTTTGATAAAGTTGTGTTAATGTACATAGTAAAATGATTACTACACTCAAGCAAGTTAATATGTCTCATACAGCAGTTAACTTTTGTCTTGGCAGATTACCAGTAGGTAATGTAATATTATTAACCAAATCCACATTCTTCAAGCTAGAGCTGTAGATTTATTCACGCTACATGACATGTACTTCTTGACCTACATCTTCACATTCCCACCTCCCCTGGAAACCCTCCCTCTGGAAACCACCATTTTACTACTTCTATGTATTTGATTTTTATTTTCCAGATTATACACGCCAGTGAGATCATGTAGTATTTTTCATTCTGGTTTATTTCACCCAGCATAATGTCCTTGAGGTTCATCCACATCGTCACAAATTACAGAACTTCCTTTTTCACAATGGCATAATCTTCCATTCTGTGTATATATGTTGTAACTACTTTATTCATTCCTCTGTTGATGAACACTTACTCCATTCCCCATCCTGGTTATAGTGAATAATGTTGCCATAAACAAGGGAATGCAGGTATCTTTGTTAGGTGGTGACTTCTTTTCCTTTGGACACGTACGTAGTAGAGGCATTGCTGGGTACAGTTTTAAATTGATTTCCATTTAATAGAATTATACATAGCATCCTGCTGTTTTGAGTCTCTTCCATATCTATTATTGGAGCCCCTGTTTTTCCAAAGTTCTTTTTTCTGCCTTTTCTTGGGAAGTGGCTATTTCAATTAATTTTCAAACAACTATTACTTATATTTATTAGTTTATGTTTTTTTGAGCAAAAGTATGAGCCCCTTCTTTAAAATTTAGTTTTTGAAAAAACAGGATATGCTTTTAAAGATAAATGAGAGGCAAAAGGTAAAATTTCAACTCCAAAAACATCACATTGAGAATACTGCCTGTATTAGTCACCTTAAGGACAGCAGGGAGCAAAAACTGACAAATGCCACTTGCTTTTGAGTGACCAGGATTTTCATACATGTCGGTGCCACACAAATCAATTAAGACCAAATTTAAACCTTTCCTGCACCAGTGCAAGGAGACTACTGCCAGCAGTTGGCCTCCCCAAGACCGTGACAGTACAGCCTGTTTCTAGAAAATGGAGCCAAGATTAACTGCTTGTTCATGATAAATTAAGGGTATCTGATTTGCTTGTTACATGCCTGGGTTTTCTTTGGAAGCAAGCCCTAGAAGCTATTTCTCTGATCAATCCTAACTCTCACGTTAGTGCTTACGAAAGGGAAAAACAACATTTACTCAGGATAAAGACTGAGTTGTAGGCTTTATAAATCTTATCAATTGCCTTGTGAAGGTTAGAGGGAAAAATGAAGAAAAGAAATCCCATTGTGTGCACTCCACCGTGTTTCTGGACTAATAATGCTCCTAATAATGTTTCAGAGTGTTCTGGGACTTCTAGGATTGGCACAGATGAAGACATAAGTGGAAACAAAGGTGGGAACCAAAGGAGATACTTGATTAATGAGTGCTGCATACGAAAAACAGCCAGGAACTGTCCAAGAAAGAAAACTGTTACCATTTTAAGTTAAAGAGAAATATTAGGGCACCCAGTACTTTCTTTTTTCTCTATTTTTCTGACAAGCCAGACAGATCACCTTAAGTGAACTTAACAGATATTTGTCATATTTGGAGTCAGTCTTGTACACACACACACACACACTGTAAAGTTATTTTTTGTGGCTTCAGTGAAGTGTTTAATACAAAATATATGTTCCTTATGATAATTTGGTTAATTGTGTGAAGGGAAAAATATTTTTCCTAGAATCTTTAAGACAAGAAAAATTATTTTTATCTAAAATGTGAGCCAATAGATAACCATTTTCCATAACTTAAATACATACTTGGAGTACAAGCAGTTCAGTTTCAACACACATTTTTGAGTGTTTTGTGCTAGTGTTCAGAAACACAACAGAAGTGAGCAGTGTGCTGGTCGTGACCCTCTCCACCTGGCACCAACTCTGCTCACTCTTTTTAGGTCACTTGTTCTTTGAGGCATTCAGTGGCCTTGGGGAGGACAGTACTTGATAGAGGGAAAAGAAACAGAGACGGAGATACTTGCTACTTCCAAGGTTCTTTCCTTTTATTTATGAATTTATGAATGGCCTATATAAACACTAGCACAAACAAGAAATGTTTATTGAAACTGAAGAATTGCAGTGTAAAAGTGTCTGTTTAACCTACAGAAAATGGTATGAAGTATCTATTTCAACCTGTGGAAAATGGTATGGAAAAGGACAGAAACCCCCATCCAGGAGCACTGCCAATGGCCTGCACTTTCCTTAAAGCAGTTTACTTTGGGGTTAAGAATAAAGAATGCTTCTTCCTCCTCTTTGTCCCACAAAAAATCATTTATGGACATCTAGTGGCAAAATAAGTAGGAAGTAAGCTGGTAGGTCACCAAGCCTACTGGAGCACCCCCCAATAGCAAAATAGTAAGAAAGTAGTACTGGTCAAGTAAATATTTCCTTCATGATTTCTTAAAAAGGCCTTGCTTTAATGTGGTAAAAAAAATAATAATAATAATCTAAAAAGCAATTTAAACCAACAACAAACAAGAGCAGAAAGCCTTCTTTCTGGAGCCAGCCATTGCTGTTAAGTACTTTTGAGATGTTCCCATGAGCCACAGCAGCAGCTGCAAACACCCTGAAGCCCAGCCAGCTGACTATTGCCAAAAGCTGGCAATGCTGGGGTTGTGGTGTATCAAAGCACCAGTAGTAGAAAGCCTTTATTGGGACTTTGAAGAAGTGCAGTCCATGAGAATGCAGGTAATAAGTTCACCATTTTGCACATAGAGTATAAAGTACTTTCATTAGCAGATCTTTTGGTCTCTATGACCACCAAATAAATGTTTAACAGGTTGTGACTCAAAGGGACCTCCCCTTTATCAGTCCTTGTCAGAGCCTATTGCATGAAATATATCTTTTCCTCATTTTCATTCACTCAGTTTCTCTTCTTTCAGATATATGTGTATGGTTTTTCTCTCTCTCCCCGCCCCCTCTCTCTCTTTAGGTTAAATAAACCCTTTTACACTGCAATTCTCCAGTTTCAACAAACATTTCTTGTTTGTGCTAGTGTTTATGTAGGCCGTTCATAAATTCATAAATAAAAGGAAAGAACCTTGGAAGTAGCAAGTATCTCTGTCTCTTTTCTTTTCCCTCTATCAAGTCCTTCATTGTTACTGCGTATACCTGGGAAGTTATTCGTGCTGAGTAGCAGTACAAAACTTTGAGCTGCCTCCTCGCTTTCTGCTCCCAGGAATGCCAATCAGAGAACATTCTTTTTCAGGCAGCCAAGTTTGGAAGTCAGTTGGTTTCTGGCAGTGAGTTGGGGGAGGGGAGGGCGTAGGAAGCACAGTGAGTCCTGGGCTGATCCTCAGCCTGGAAGTGTTCCCGTAATAGCCATCAATGGAGGCATCTCCTTTCACCCTCGCGGAGACAGGTAAAAAGACAGCTGAGTAAATCAGCCAGGGATGAAACAGCGGAAGCTGGGTCGGAGGGCGGGGGTGAAGGGAGCGGGCAGAAAGCCTGCCATTGGTGAGCTTACCAAAGGCATCTGCCAGTGGGACTCCAGTGGAATGTGAAACCAAATCATTTTCAAGTTAAAGATAGACACAGTATACACCAGGAGCTAGAAGCTGGATTTTAAACTCATATCTCGCCCTAGAATTCCACGGAGCCTTGTGATGATCTCTCTAGCAATTAACAATTTGGTGAAAGTTTGTTCTTCCAGTGAATGTGCTAAGAATTCATGTATGTTCTGGATGTACTGGAATTAAAGGGATTTAAGAGATCATGGTGTGCGTACTCCAGGGTAAGTGAAAAGGTTACCTTTGAAGTGCATCGCTTCTCTGGAAAGATTAATATGCAATTTTTCTCTTGTATTGGTCTAAATGAAAAAGCGCTCATGAAGATATTGTGGTGTGTGCAGCCGCTTTACTTTTCTTGAGATCATTGGTATTGTACATTTTGGGGAGTAGAACAAAATAGAGTATTGTAGCTTTGTTTTGGACGTTACATTGTAGGTTTGTGACTTCAGTTTTGCCTTGACTCTTGTTTTTCCTTCCGTTAACCCTCAAGTTCCCTGAATTTACTGAGTTACAATATTAATTGCTGCCTGTCACAACAAAGACTAAATGTCACTGTGTTTGTTATGCCACTGGGTGCAATTGTACTATTGTGACATGGAGTTCAGTTTCCCTTCCGTGGCACTAAGTCACTTTCTAGTTAAAAAAAAGTTTCAGGAAGAGAGAGGGGAAGAGTGGTCTTTATGAATTGTCCAAAAGTGCCTAAGAGACACTAGAAAGCATTCTATTTTTTAAGTAACTGAGAAAAATGGACAATTTCCATCAAAGAGAATAGTTTATAAATAGAAGGGTTTTTTTGGTGGTTTTTTTTTTTTTTTTTTTTTGGTTTTTGGTTTTGTTTTTTTTTGGTGTTACCTCATTAATTCCAAGCAGGTTCCCCTGTTCCAAGAGAGCTGGTATTTGCTAAGTGAATAGAGTCATTCTGACTAAACAGAGCTTGAGAGAACAGGGAGGGGAAGGGTTGTCCAATTTGCTGTTGCCGTGCAGTGTTTGAAGGATTTTAAAACATTTTTTCATTAGAAGAGAGAATGACATACTTCAGTTCTGCATGTTTTGCCCATGTATAGGTTTTGTTTCTTGTTTTGTCAAATGACCTCTCCCTCTGCTCTTAAGGACAGCTTTTCTAAACTTGCACAGCATTCTTTCTGAATAAATACTGGCCATAATAGTTACCAAGTACATGGTGTGAATTGGAAATTCTACTTTATATGGGGAAAATAAATCTGCTGCTGACGCTCTTCCTCCAGAATGTGGAGCTGAACAGTCAGTTGTTAAATGTAAGCAATTAGTTTTTGTTTTGCCAAATAGCCAGATTCAGATGAACTAAATTGACTATCCTAGGTACGATCAACCATTTAATATGACTCTCTCACTCAACTTTGATCAGAGTAAATAATATGCTATGTTAATTTTCTATTATGAAAAATGGGCATTATCTTGATAGAACCACTTGGTTTTTCAACTTCTGAGGAGTCTGGCAAGGGCAAACAAAATGTGAAAGTGGGCAGAGCTTAGGTTTTTTCTCTGCTCCCTCCTCTGCCTACTCTCCCTCCTCCTCCTGTCTTCCCTCTCCCTCCAAATCCCTGAGAACTATCACTGCCCTTGGGGGCCTTTTTTTCAGCAGTTTAGACCTGTCAGAGGAAGAATAGGACTGTAGATTGCTTTAAAATCAGTGCACTAAATCCATGAACAATATTTACACTTCAGTATACAAACCTAACCTCAAAGAGTTTAGGCAGTTTGTTAGTAAGACTTATAATTAACCCATTAGGTTGTAAAAATTACAGCTAATTTTCATTTTCCCATGAACAGATGGTACCTTTGTCAATTTTCCCTGGTCATATCAGATGCCTGGTGATGTTCTGCCACCAGCTGTGCCCTGAATGGTTGACATTAGGAATGAACCTGGCATAAATCTTAGATGCTTCCCAGAAGTTTGCAAATGTAGGCACTTGTACTCAGACACATGCAGACATTCCTTTTACTTTACTAATATGCTTCTGATCCAATTATAAAAATAAGTGAAATTATATTAGACTCATTAAGGAGGGTTTTTTGTTTTCAGTGTGTCAAAAGGAGAAAATACCAAATCCTAAAATGCAAGAATTTTAAATTATGTAGCTGAATGATGTTGACAGGGAAAAAAAAAACATATATTTATCTGTTACTTTTGTGTCACTTTGATAGTTTCTAGTTCCCTGATGAAATGGTAAGCTTGGCTATATTTCTTTGAAGAAAGTAAAGATAATCATTTTATAATATACCTGTTAATTATAATATCTCAAGTGTTATTCAATTTGTTTCTGTTATTGCTATTCCTGCAACTTCTCCCTCGTGGTGTCTTGTTTTCCTGGTACCTTAGATAGCTTTACTCTAAGGTAAAAGTGTATTTTTAAAAGCACCTGTAAGAATAAGTGGAGACTGCTGTTTTCCTGCAGAGAAAATTTTGGTTCGCATCTGCCAAGCACCTGGGGCAAAACTGGACCAGAATCTCCTTAGATAAAGTATAACATTTAAAGCTTCTGAGTCCCCTCTGTGACAAGAGACAGTCTGCATGCACGATGATTTATTACAGGCTCACTCTATTCTGAAGGAAGGTATGGCAGGTATGGCCTAGCAGGATCCCAACCTAAAGTTAAGTTACTTAATTGTTAGTTAAAGCCCTTACCAAAGGGCTATAGACTAAGACTTTTCCTTGAAGCCCATCAGGAAAACCAGAGTGCCACTTGTGGTGGTGTAGGCCTATAATCTAAGCACTCAGAGGCTGAGGCAGGAGGATCACTGTGAGTTCAAGGCTAGCCTAGATTACATGATGAGTTCAAGACTAGGCTAAACTACAGAGTAAGACCCTGTCACAAACCCCCTCCCCCCACAAAAAAGGAAAGGCAGGAAAGAGGCTGTTTTCTCAGGTCTTTCTTCCTGGTATTCATATGCCTGGGGCAAAAACTTTTAAAGCTGAGCTTACCTCTCTGACTTCTGGTCTCTGACACTTTCACTTGCTAGATTGTATCTTAGTAGCTCTTTGTTCTCTTTGTTGTTTTTTATACCTATTTCAAGCATGTTTTACTTTTCTGCTTGAGTGTGTCAGTCCGAATTATCTCAGCTCTCTTACTGGAGGAGGAAATTCAGTCTACTACTTTTAAAAATCATTCTTTTTTTGCACTCTTTTTTCCAGAGAAACTATCAGACAGTCTGCTGATATCATTGGTGATTTCAGGGAGCTTTTCTGTTTATTTTTATTTTACTTTTTTAGTTGTTAACTGATTTAATTTGACTCTTTGGGAAAAAAAATTGCATATACACACTAATTGAAAGATTCCTGTTTTCCAACTTGATAAGAGCTGTCTCCAATACTGAGCACCCCTCTTATTTGTGCCCAGCTGACCACTTTCTTTGGCAATCTCTTTAATCCCCCAACTGCCATCACTCTCAGCTGTTGACTTTGACTCTTCCAGCTTTCTCTTGGCCTCTGTTCAGTTTCACCACATTTTTTAAAAGTCATTTTACATAAATCCCTTCCTTTTCATTTTCTTTGCAATTGCTCTACTTCAGGTTTTCATTATCTCCCTTGAGGATTACTGTGGTCTTACCTTATTCTCCACATCTGGGTTCTGTCCACACTGCCTGCCCCCAATACACTGGGACCAACACATCTGTCTTCTGAAAATCATAGGCTTCAGTAATTACTTAAAATTTTGCAGTGATTCATCCTTTACTCTAACATAAAGCTCAATCTGCTTAGTAGGTCCTACACAGTCTCTAACAAAGCACTCATTCATTTCCCTAACATAGTCTTGTCTGGTTTGCTGGTTATGACTGACACTAACCACACATAATTGCTGTCTTCAGAACATGCCCTATACCGGCATACCCCTGTGCCACTCTACCTACTGGATCCTTTTCCCAAAAATGCTTATTTCTCCTTTATATATGAGCAAATCGGATTTCTCCTTCATGGCTGACCTCATAAATCACCTTCCCTGTACTTCCTTTAATTATACAGTTCACCTACAGCTCTGGGAGGCCCTGATGGGATGAGTTGCGTCCTACTGTACTTGTTTCTGTTTTCTCAGTAACTGACCCATGGAAACCACTTACTGCATTTTTAAGCAAATACAAAAGGACTGTTATGAGGACATTTTTCCTTAAAATTTCTTTTTTTCTTTCACTTTACTACTCATTTCACATTACTACTCATTTTACCTTAGACTCCTTGTCAAGAATAGGAATCAGTTTTGGTCCTTCCTAAATGTCACCTAGTGCCAGGAAAAGATATGGCTGTTCCTCTGGTCATTGTAATTGTTCTAGAAAATGAGTTTCTCTGTTTTCTTGCTTTTCTTCCCTCAATTAGACAAATGATTGTGAAAGGCAGTAGAAGCACAATGAATCAGCTTCATACTATCAGAGAGGTTCATAATTAAAAGACAGTCCTAGAATGGGGAAAATGGTATATTTCAGCAAACCTAGTTCGCAATGCTGGATGGCACAACAGGAAAAAGTTAGTAAAACACAATCAAATTCACATTATTTTATGGCACATAACCTGAATCTGAACCAACAGAAAACACTAGCCTGTTTTCAGATCATAGTGTTGTGCTACCAAAAAAGCAGCTGGTTACTTATGTAATGTGACATTGTGACCCTAAATTTTAAAGCTGGTTGAAATTTCTTGTGAAAAATATTACAGCCTTGAGTGCAACTTTAATCTAATTTCATCATCAGTGTGTACTAAGCAAGGAAAAATTGCATCATTAATTAAAAATTGGGTATAGCTGGTGGGAACCAGAAGAAATATATGGCTTGATTTATTATAAGGATGTTTCCTTCCATATTTTGGGGACGTATACATTTCTTATCAAATATTTATTGTATGTCTTTGATATACTAACTCCTGAGATTTAGAAAAATGAAAAAAACTTGCTTATAGTACCTCCACTAAAAGCAAAGTAGAGTGCAAGGGAAATTTTTATATTTTAAAGAAATTTGAATCTAATGAAATGTTCGAAGCTAATCTTTAAGTGTGAACACAAAATTCTCCATCGTGAAATATAAAAATATGATATTAGTTTTTTTTATGTTTTGCTCCATGAAAGAAACTAAGACTGGGTCTTGAATACGAGTCATTAAATCATAACTTCTAAGTAGCCAAGCTAATCTGGTTTATTAATTCAGTAATCAAACTTCTATCTTTTTTCTTAACTGTGGTAGGCAAGAAATTACCCTTTTC